AATCACATAAAGATCATTTTGCAAGTCAATCTGTGGAAGATATTTTAAGACTTTATATACTTATAATTTTTTATTGTGGTGATACTGACTTACAACACCATAAAATGAGTTAGAGGTATAGCTTCACATATCTTCATATATATGTTACTATATTATACCCATCACTAAAGCCCCTTAATCCTCCACCGTTGTCTGTTGGGCTCCCTCTCCACTGCAGTCTCCACTCTTTCTCTCACTGGTAGCCTCAATTCTATAGTCATATTTCTAAAGTTTGTTATGGCTAGACTTTATCTGATTTTTTATTTTATTTTTTTTTTAAGATAAATTTATTTATGTGTGCAAGAACTAGGGTACAGGCCAGAGAGCAGGATGGTAAGAGGATTCACCAGAGACAGAGGAATCAAACTCGAGCTGCAGGGGCTGCAGAGCACTGCGTAGTATAATGCTTTAACCTGTTGTGCCACCAGGGAGGAGCGGTTTTATTTCTTGCTATACATAAGTGACAATAGCTGTTTTTTGTCTTTCCCCTGACTTATTTTGTTTAGCATAATCTGTCCCACTTATGCTATGTTTGGCTTTCTATTGTGCTAAGCATTTACTCAAAATGTCAAGAGTACAAATGTTGAGAAATACTGTCTAGCATATAGTGTATCCTCAATAAATTTATCTTGCATTTGAGTGAAATTTTATGATTATATGTGAAGTAAGAGAAATTAGTATTAGGGTGGTTAGCATTGAGTGTGACTTATGAGTCAGGTTTTGGATTTTTATGCTTCTGAGATGCCTGAGTGCTTACAGAACAGTTTTTTTAGTTTATGATTTTTGATTTGCTTTATGAATTATTCTTAAATATTTATATATGTCAGATAACTTTTACTATAAGTAGATAATATCATGGAAATAATGAAGATTTTCTATCTGTATAAAAATGCTAAACTATTTATCTGTTAAATTTTTCAGATTTAATTATATATCATGTTGTTCCTAAATCTGAATCATTATATAAATCCACACTATTTTATTTTGTCTCTTTCCCCAAACTTTGGAAGTCATTAAAGAATGACTTCCTTAGTGTTTTTTAGGAAACTGATGTTTTTAGTACTACTCTAAATAACTGGAGTATCCTGAAAAAAAAAAAAGTTCAATTTCCCATTCTTCACTTTCTTTTTCTCTAAAATATCTTTCAAACATTATGGGATGTGGACATCCCTGGGGCACAAAGGACTAAGTCTCAGCACTATGAAACTATCCACAGCCAGTGCAGCATGAGTTCAATCCCTTGCCAGGGAGGTGGCCCACATGGTACGGCAGACCTCTCCTGACGGGCAGACTGCGCCCCTCAGCAGTGTATTTCAGTGGATTGGCCTGTTCCCAACTCTGTCTCTGGTCATCCTCTCGCTATCATTCCCCACCTCCACATCTGTAACCTACATCCCAGATTTTGTATGAGTAAATAAATACAAATAAATCTTAAAAAAAAAAAACAAAACATTATGGGACGATATCTATGTTCTCGTCTAGTTCTTATATTTAGAATTTTTTATTCTACTATTTATCCTTCTATTGTATTTTGTTTATTTCTTCAGAGTGGCATTTATATAGCTTTAACTGTTATCTTTATTCTTTACCTGACTCTCATGTCTGCATAGTTCAGCTGTGTTATCCAAATAGGAAATACTGTTCACTGAATAAATCTGGTTTATGACAAATAGTTCTACAGTCTCTTACACTGATTATATATCGCTCCTTAATAAGGATCGTCTTAAAAGATTTCAATGAGTGAAATTCTGATTTTGCTTTATCACAATGGCAACTCTTAAGTTATAAAGTATGAAAGCTTGGCTAGCACACAGGATTCAGCTCTTCGTCATTGTGTCCTGATTACCTGACTAGTGGCTGCTGGGATTACCTTAAATTGCTGGCTTTTCAATTCTTTGACCAAGCCTCTTTCTCCAATGGATTGTTAGTGATTTCCTTGCTAAATCTTTTGCCTAATTTTCTGACCTAATTGAGTCTATAAAGTAAACCAAATTAATACAATTCAAAATTGGTGAGTATCACAAGGATATGTTCCAGTTATTACACAATACATAAGGCAGTTGGCTGAGAAAATAAAAAGGAAATGTGGAATGGGTAGGATATCCTTCTGTCTGTCTTCCTTTTCTTAGAAATCAACATTTCTTTTTCTCTCATTTTTTTTTGCTCTCATCTTGGCAACTGAGAAGGAACACATCAAAAGCATACTGTGCAGCCAAGGTTCTTGGTAACGGTACCTATGTCACTGGAATTGTTTCATTATTTCTTCATGACTTCCTTCTGGCTCAATGTGAAAAAAGTCTTAAAGTGAGTATTTTTGGAAAAATTGAAATGTATAGTGGATTATATTAGAAAAAGTGGGTTCCCTAAGCAATAAAAGTAACACATGAAAATCAGGAGTGCTCCCTTTCTTACATCGATATGTATTAAGGTAAACTATTAAGAAAAACAATCATGCCAACGCTGCTCAAGCTTACTTTAAAATGACGTGTATTTGCACTTAAGTCCTGAATGTATCTACCACAGGTGTGAGTAGAATAAACAAGCAATATTCCTTGAATAATGTCAGCTAAAGAGTGTCAAATATGAGCAGCTAATTAGTCAATCTTGTATGTCTTTTTAACCTCTCTTCTAAATTTTCAAAAAGAAAACCATTGCTATTAACTCCTCAACACTTACTTTCTAACAACTTGGCATATATCTCAGTGAAAATGACTCCCTGTGTCCAAAAATCGGTTACCTGTTTCCATGTTCCTCCATATTTAGGTAGCATTTCATTCTTCCTTCCACCTGTTTCTTCTAATTATTTCTCTATGGTTTCCTGACCATTGTCACTTCACTACTCGATACTTAGCAATTGTCCTCTTTCTTCTTGCTGTACCATTGCCTTAATAATAGGGTGTTCTTGAGTTCTATTCTTAGACTATTTTTTTCTTAGTCTCTTCCTGGGGAAGTTTATTTATTCTTTCATCTGAAAAAATATCTCTGCAGTTGTTCCTATGACTTTTCCCTTGATCTTCACTTTTAATTCTCATTATCTTCTGGACACCTTAAGCTTACAATGTAAAAGATTGTACTCAATATCCCTTTTCTAATTTTAGTTTGGATTTTTTAAATCTTGGTTTATAATTGGTTTAATTTTTCGTCACCTAAATGTACTGTATCCCTTAATTTCCCTGATTTATTATATCTTTGATAGTTTAATGTTTTTCCATTTTCCAAAATGCCCTGCATCTTCTCCTTGTTTTAGGTCATCATAATGTCTGTCTAAAACCTATAGTAGCACGATACACTAATCTCCTTTACTAAGTCATCCTAGTTATTGTCATGAAGTCATCCAAAAAATTTCACAATTCTTTTTTCTCTCAAAAATATTTTATTATCTGTCTAGTGGATTATATTATATATTGGATATTCAAATGTATCCAAGATGTAACTACGTTAAATCCCTGAAGTAGTAATTGATACTTTACATCCTCTATATATTCCAAAATACAGAACATATCAGACTTGAAATTTTGCATTTTGAGTTCCTGAATTTCTTTTTGCAAAATTACTTTCTCCCCAATTAATCATTTCTCAAAAATCCTACTCTTTCTTTTTAACATCCAACTAGCTATCAGTAATGTAACCGCTCCTTGGTGACCTGTTCCCTCCCCACCCAGCATCAGGGCCCCATTCTTTCAATCCAGTCATAGTCAAATTCTGTATATTTATATGAAAATATTACATTGATAATGTTTTATTACAAAATATCAAGTAGTTAAAGCATTGACACTGCATGTGATGAAACAAAACATGCAATCCAACTTGAAAGTAAATGATATCTTTCCTTGTAGAAAACAGTGATTTTGAGCAAGTTCTTAACCTTTGTGTCTCAACTTCTGTAATCAAAACATAAGGAGAAGAGCTACTTTTTTTTTTAAAGATTTATTTATTTATGCATATAGAACTGGGGTACAAACTAGAGGTGTAGGGGCAGTGAGAGGATACATCAGAGACAGAGAGGGGAGCAGAACAGTCCAATTGACACAATACACTGCTGAGGGGAGTAGCTGGCGGGTCAGGGGAGGTCTGCCGCGCAGGAATTGAACTCATGCTGAAGTGGCTTTAGCTTCTGTCCTTTAACCTTCTGTGCCACCAGGGAGGGCCAGAGGAGAGCTACTTTGTGATAGTTTTTTGTACATTATAAAAGACAATGTGTAAAGTGTGAAGTATCTGACATAGGAGGAATACTATGGGAAAAAATAGCTGTTATAATTTTAATAATAATAATTACACCCGAAGTAAAAAAGTCAATCAATAACTTATCAGGTAAATATCTATCTCCATGATATTTTCTAAAATTTTTATAACAGGATTTTGCCTATAACAACCATCCAAGTTCCTCTCTTGAGCTTTTCCATTTTAGAGGAAATTTTTTCTTGTCTAGAGATAATTGTTTGAAGTAAATGATTTTATTTCCCTAATCAAATGGCCCTTGTAGCTAAGCAGTTTGCCTTACATGCTGTTATATTGGATTTCTTATCTTGTCATTTTCTGCATTGAAACATAAAGCACAAAATGCTCAGATTAGCATGAAATTGCCATCTTGGTAAAAGCCACTTCTATCTCTGGTTCCATATAGAATCCCCGTAATTAAGATTTTGAGGACCCACAAAGCACTAATTCTGCACACAGTAATGTGGGAACTTGGCCAGAGTGTCGCTGTTCTCCAGTCATTGTCCACAGTTATTGGACAATTGAGTTTCCTGAACAAATGTGTCCATTTGTGAATTGCTCCCTTGTTAAAATGCTCCCCAGAATTTCTGGGGATAGGTTATAAGCAGAAATAATTTTCTAATCATATGGACTTCTTGGAATTGAAACTCACCATTGAATTTATTTCAAACCACAAAATTAGCATACCATTAAATACAGTATATAAATGGCCACAAAAACGGCAAATCCTCATCCACTCAGCAACTCCTTCACTTCTTGTCCTTTAATTGGAAAGAAGGTAAGAATTGCGATATGAATTAAATATATACACTCTTCACTTTTATTTCAAACTTAGTTGAGATTTAGGAAGAATGAAATAGCTCAAAGAATTGTCTTTGAAACAGGGCATTTAAGATAATGCTGGAAATAGAAGTGCTTTTTAAGATTTGGTAAAAATAGTACTAGATCACATAAATGTTATGAGTCTCAGAAATGTGTAATGGTGATTGTTATTTATTTTTAGCATTAGGCTGGTAAGTAATAGGGCATATTAAAAATTCTGTTTCTTTTATAGTAGGTCTTTCAGCTTGAGTAAATATAAGTCATAAAAGCAAATATCTTTAATTTGCATTATGATAAAATGAATTACTACTGAGAAAGCTTTACTTAGCAAGTACTTCATAAAGAACTTCATATGCTTATAATGATATTTTAGGAAAGTGAATTAGTCAAGCCTGTTTAAAACATACAACTTCCCAGTTTATATTTCAAAATAATATTAAAATAGAAACACAAAATACAGAACTAGTTTAAAAGGAGCAAAGTGGTTTACTTTGTAAGAAAATTCTAGATGGTAAAAGGATGATTTTGTAAGCAAAAGCAAGATATGATTCGAAAGAAAGTGGTTTAAAGTACATTAGTCAGTAAAAAATTTTGGTTAAAATTATTAAGTAAAATGTTAATTACAAATATAGACAATGCAGTGATTGCTTCCTTCTAATGATTTAGAATAAAGTATGATATTCTTTGAATCCTGAAATGACAAAAATTTACTAGGAAACTGGAGGTCTTAGCAGAGTAAAGTTAATAAAGAATTATAGCAGTCTTGGAAGAAATATAGAAATATCTGTTGTCTCTAACAGAGAGAATATTCTCAGCCTTCAAATATTGGAAAGGATTTTTTATAGGTTACTAGAGCTATTTTCCATGACATAGCTCTAGTCCATAAATTTTAGCTTAAAAATTTAGTATTGAACATAGGTTTAAGGGATATTGGTGATGCAAAAATCATTTTCTACGAGAAATTATAGAAATACAACAAAACAAGCATTGAATGCTTGTTGGTTGAGTGTTAATGTTTTAAGGTCTGTTGCAAAAGTGTCCAGCAGTGCAGATGGGGCAAGAGAATCTGAGACTTGTTATTATCATCAAGGAACCTCCAGTTTCCTAGTAAATTTTTGTCATTTCAGGATTCAAAGAAAAGAATATTATACTTTATTCTAAATAATTAGAAGGAAGCAATCACTGCATAAAGATCATAGTTTATGATCTCTGAAGTTCAGTGGTAAAAGAGGAGACAGCATTGGGTATGTGTGCATTAAGACTATGTAGTGGATATCAAGAAACAGAGAGTCTAAGAAAGCTTCTGAGTAACTGAAAAGAAAACCTGGCTTATTGTAATTAGGGAGACCTAATTGAGCCAGATAATCATGGAAACTGTTTAACTTAGTGAAGGAAATATAAAAATAAAACATAATCTTCTTCTTAGTATGTTTTCTTTGGTCTCTTGTAAGTAGAACAGAAAAGCTAAGATACCGTAGTTTTTTCACCTCTGTAATCCCCACACCTTCTAGTATTTGCCATTGAAAGGTGCAAAAACACTCATCTCTTAATAATAATAAATTTTTCTATAAACACTTACAAATTTTTCTCTGTCAAAAAGAAAAGAAAAAGAAATCTACTACTGTGAGTGAGATGAACAAGTGAAGTAGGGTAGAGGGTTACCTGAGAACAATCTGAGTGGTTGGTAACGAAGTATGAATTTGATAAGTAAAAGTTCTCAGCCAGGGTAGATGTTGATCTTGGTCTTCTGTTAAAACTTCTGTTACTCATTTTCCAAAAAATGAAAGCATGTTAATTATAGATTGCCTTTGGTTTCTTTTAATGACAGTAGCCACACCTAAATAAGAAAATATATCACACTGAGCAATATCCTCCTTTTCCCCTTTACAGGACTTGATCGTCATGAAGGTCCTCATTCTTGCCTGCCTGGTGGCTCTTGCCCTAGCAAAGGAGGTAAGTAGAGGAAAAAACCCATCAGCCCACCACAACCAAATTTTGAAATTAATAGTTGCATAAAGAAGGTAAAAATTAAGTCAAAAAATGTTAATAAGGTTAGCTATGGAAAGTAATTAATTTGGTCTTACTTTTTCTCTACAGAAGGAAGAAGTCAGTGTATCCAAAGAGGTAAGACATTTTTACTTAGAGAGACTTTCCAATTATAAAATAGTAACTCCTTGATGATCTAAGACAAGACTCAGTCTTAGCTGATGTTCTGTGTTTTTCTCTTTACAGAGTGTGGAAAGTGTTTCTAGCAGTGAGGTAAGACAATTTCATTCACAGGCAATGTCCCCATTTAGGACAGAAAATTCTGATCTATATTTATGCATTACTTTAGGACACAGTTCTAACATAAATTTCTATTGTATTTGTTTAATGATAGACTAAATGACTAGCATTATCTTAGTTGACTCACTACTCAAAATTTTCTAATGAGTGGTAGAGTCCAGTTTTCTTCTTGTTCTTTATAGAGAGATACTGGTCACTGTTTTGACATTTGTGTGACATCCATAAGGGAGTTATTGATACTTCTTTCTTACATTCATTTGAAGCTTATACATAATAGGTGAACTAAGAATGATTGACTGAATGTTTATTATTAAATGTTTTCGGTGAAAATTTTTAAAGAAACAGATGGGGTGGTAGAGGTCATTTTCTATCAGAGAAAGGGAACATGGTGCTAGATAGAAATTACCATCTGTTGAATGTCCCTTTGTATACAGTGCTCACTAATTTTCTTTTCCTTCTTGGTTTCCTTTATTTTCTTTTCTATTAACATGTTTATCTAGAATAGTGTAACATCTAAATTTTGGCAATTATTCTATTCCTAATGTAATTAAACAAGGTGTAGTAGTAATCTGTAAAGTGTCATTTTATTTTAATAAATAAGAATCACTCATTAAAACTAAACCTGATTTTATTTTTATTTTTCTGAAGGAAACTATCAAGTTTATCAACAAGGTAAAAACCTCTTAAAATGGACATTTTTAAAATTTTTCTGCTCAATTTTTACAAATAATAACATTTCTTTATGTGATACATTTTTAGCTAAAACTTGGGAAATTTAAACAACAAGAACAGCAGCAAAAAGAGGTATAAATCCTAGTATAAAAAATTAAAATTTGATAGTGTCAGTATATTTTAAAGACATAAGTCCATGTTTTAAATAAATGATCCAGTTCTATATTACAGAATAAATATACAATAAACATTACAGATTTACTCACTTGACTGCTGGTGAGCCTGCTTTTAGTAAAAGCACACAAAAGACACATTGCCCTTTTTCTCAATATGAATATGCTGATGAAGGAGAATAGGGTTGCAGTATGCCACAAATCCTAACCTGATCATTAATGTATAACCTGGCTCTCTGAACGTCAACTTTTTCATTTATAAGCTGTGCTTATATGTTTTTATTAAAGTTATGCTTTAATATCCCTGATCTTTAAAGAGAAATGCCCTCCCTAACACGACACCTCGGAGCTCCTCCCAGTTCTTTTTAGGTCACTCTATAGCAAGTATCATAGCTGCTAGAGATAAGTGAAAAAATAAGTGAAAGATTTTGTCTCTTTTTACTCAGTTATGATTGTTCAAGAAAGAGCAGTATAATGCATCATGAATAACAGTTCAGCTGACATACAGACTCAAAGCTTCTTTTTCTCTTTGCAGGAGGAAAGCCAGGATAAAATCCACCCATTTTCCCAGTCTCAGCCTTTTGTCAGTTCTTTTCCTGAGGCCATTCCTTTCACCGTCTTTCCACAAAACACCCTGCCTCTTGTTCAACCTATGATGCTGCCTTTCTTTTCACCTGAAATGGTGCAGGACCCCAAAATCAAGGCGACCACCTTTCCTAAGCACAAAATGATGTCCCTCCTTAAGTCTCCAATTGCGCCCTTTTTCGACAGTCAGATCCTGAACTTCACCGACCCAGAAATCCTGCCCTTTTCTATGCCTCTTTCTCTCCTTCTGCTCCAGCCCTGGATGCACCAGGTGCCTCAGATGCCCCAGATGCCCCAGATGCCCCAGATGCCCAGGATGCCCCAGGCTGTTTTTCAGACTCCCATGTTTCCTTCTCAGCCCATGCAGCCCCTTTTTCAGTCCAAAGTCCAGGCTATTCCCCAGCCAGTGATGCCCACCCCCCAGAAATTCATGTCTCTGTCAGCCCTTCACCTGAACCAGCAACCTCTGCTTGATCAGACCCACCAGGTCTACCCTGTGACTCATCCATTCCCTTATGCCTACAACTTCTTGATGGTAAGTCCACATTATCATCCTGCTGTTTCACCCGTGATGTACCCGTGACTTCAGATAGGTAAGGGCGCTGGAATGTAAAAGTAAATGAACAAAAAGTGGTCCCAAATGGAGATAGTGTCAGTTATTCTGAGCATGAGCTACACAGAAGAATAATCTGGAAAACTTAATTGTTTTCCAAAATAGCAATATCTTGGCCTCACCACAGAAATTCTGAGAGAACTATTTTGATTTTCTATGAAAAAGATTGAATATTCGGAAAAAATGATTACAAGGATTTGTATTTAACTGATTTCTTCAAAATTTAGAAGAGGATCAAGTCTCACTGAAGCCAGATGAAGTTTGATATAATCTTATGGTTTGGGCCTTTACCATTGTCTGTGGTTTCAAAATTTCCCCTGTGCACATTTATTTTCCAATATGCCTTATTTTATAACTGACTTTTGAGATACACACACACAAACACATATGGGTAAACTATCAAGATGTCTACTTTACTACGTATTAAATTCTTAAGGAAAATATTTTTGCTAGAAGATTAATTGTGTATTTGTTAATTCTAATTCTTAGGTCTAAGAGGATTTCCCAGTTCACACCCTCTCCTCACTTTTGGTAAGCTTTGAGAGTCTGGATATAGAATGCTCATTTTTTTCATATTAATGTTTATATTTATTGATGTAATAAAGATAAACTTTACATTACTTATATTTTTCTATTTAATTTTCCTGGATAAACCCAAAATAATGGCAAATATTTATCAATATGCCAAGTGAATTATTATCAGCTAATTCTTAATGGTTGACTGATATGTATTTCAAGCAATTTAAAATTTTATTTATGTCTTGATAAATTTTATTGGCTTGCTTTCTAGTGTCTATACCATCATTTTATGGAAAAAAACTATTACTTTTTTCTTTTATGTAAATATGTTTGAGCTTTTAAAAAATTCATCTTGCATTCTCATTTTTAACTTAGGCTGTATAAACTTAAGTTGTTTTCATCTAATTTAAAAATGTACACATTGTCTTTAATTTATGATTCAAAATATAAGTAATTAGTCCAGATGTAAGGGTTAAAAATGGGTAGAATGTGCTTTGGGGATTCTTAAGATAAAATCTTTTGTGATCATATAGATTAGACACTTTACTAAGCAATATAAAGTGAAGTGATAACTTGCTCCCAGAAAGCCCTTTATATTTTGCCTCCAAGCTAGGGCACATGTGTAATAATATTTATCTTATAAATTAGTCACATGAAAATTACAAATGGGGTGAGATGAATAGTTATAGAGTATAACTAATACTATCTTTGTTCTCTATTCCACAGAATTGACTGCAACTTGAAATGTGCTTCTTTTCAATATTGTATCATATCAAAGATTTGTAATTTTTAAAGAATCTACATGGAAGAAAGGAAACTTAATTTCATTATTTATTTTATGCTGTTCACCTCATTTTAATTTTACAAAAAAAAAAAACTCCACACTTTTCAAATTTTAGTTCAGCTAATACCAGAAGTTCATTTTTGAGTTGGAAATAATATAAGCATATCAAAAATATGTGAAAAAATGTTTTGGAAATTGTGCTTGTTATTATTTCTTTCTAATCAGTCATTTCAATAAAATAATCCTTGAGGCATACTTAAGTTTTACTGTCTTCATTATAATTTTCAACCTGGTTGATCTCCTTTTTTAACTTAATATTACTGGTCCTTTAAATAGTTGTGGGATAATTGAAGTTGAATAGAGTGTTGCAAATTGATTTCTTTTTAAAAATGTTTCTTTATTTATGCATACAGAACTGAGGTACAGGCCAGAGGTGGAGGGGTGGTGAGAGGATTCACCAGAGATAGAGTGGGGAGCAGAGCAGGCAGACTGATGAAGTACACTGCTGAGGGGAGCAGCAGGTGAAGCAGAAGTCTTCCATGCTATGTGGGCCAAACTGGCTGGGGATCAAACTGGTGCTGAAGAGGTTGTGGCTAGTTTCATAGTGCTGCATTTTAACCCACTGTGACACCAGGGAGGCCCCTATGAGTTGAATCTTAAATAGTATCTAAAATTGGAAGAAAAAGGGAGCTCATTCTTTCTATACTAGAAATATATACAGTTGAACTGTTACACATGTGCCTTTCAGTCTCAAAAATACTCAGCTGTTCATATTAAAATCTATGAACATTGGTTCATTGCAGGGGAAAAAAGCTTTAGACTCATAACTCTGTAAGTAGTAAATAAGTGGTTCTGTTAAAGTTACTATCTCAGTGCAATATCCACACTTAACAATATATAAAAGTAACTTCAAAGATATTTATTGAAGTTTAATATGATTATTACACAGAGGTATATGAAACTGGTATTCCTTTTTGTTACATGTAATGGACTCCCTCTAGAGCAAAAAGAAACAGTATTCAAATCAGGATGACCTGAGTTAAGATGTTTTCCTTAGCAATACCCAAGAAGGTAGACTTGTGGGAAGCCCTGCTATCCATTGTCTGAGTGGATCTGCTTTATTGTGCTCTACTATCCCTCTATCAACTTCTATGTTGTATACTTGATTCTGTCCTCTGGAGTTTACACAATAATATGTTTCTAACAATCATTTCATCTTTTCTGCATCCTAAATATTTTCCCCACTTCAGTATCAAGTATAAGGTTTGCTTATGCTGTATTTTCCATCTTTTTTGTCTCCTGACCTTTTCTGCTTTCACAAAATTTAAAATGTTAAATTATCTTAAGAATTTTCTCTTTGGCTAGAATTTTAATGGTTAAATTACCCTAGGGATTAAACTTACTCTGGTTGGTATTGTTTAGTTATATGACTTAATCTATCCAGTGGCTAAGAACTTCCAAATGTTTATCCCCAAATTTCTTTCCTGAACTACAAACTACTACACTCAACTACCTTCTTTATCTCCGCAACTGTGTATCTAATTAATATTTTAAACCTGGCATGGCCAAGCATAACTATTCATCAAAATCAGTTCCTAACTTGCTTAAAATTTAGTTGGGCAGATTCAATAAAGAAGGCAACTAATAAATAGGCCAGTCTTGAGTGGGCACTTCACAAAAGTAGGATAACTTAAAGACCAATAATATATGAAAAGTGCTAAATATCACTAGTCCTCAGAAAAAAATGTAAATTAAAGCTACCATATAAAATCAACTACCAGAATGACAAAAGTGAAAAGATTTGGCATTACCCTTTTTTTTTTTTTGGAAAACCAGACAAATGCCATGTGAAGCAATGCATAATACCATTGAAAGGGTGTTGAACATTCTCAGGACTCATGAATTTATCTTTCCAGTGACTTGTACTGCAGGATATGCTTACCTCTGATCTTAAATCACTCGTAAAGGATTTGCAAAGCTGTCCAACACAAAGATGATCACAAACTACCTCTTGTTAGTCTCTTAAAATAAGTTGTTAAAGCAGGTGAATTCTACTTAATTACCAGTATTAATTGTTGGGAGTGACTGAAGATTTACTCACAAGGACTGAATTAGGGCGGTAAAGGCCTTGCATCCAAGGACTGATAAGGTGGTAATAAACTGACCTTGCATCCGGGAAGGGACTAGCTGAAGGTGATAATGGACTGGGCCTCACATCAAGGACACAGCGATGAGTCACCCCCTTTGGAATCTGAGTCTAGAATCTATATAAGAGACCCTTCCCCCTTATTGAAGGGGCAGTAGCTGCGGCCCCCACTCTAGGGACTCCGTGTCAGCTGCTGTCCCGGAGCAATAAACTCTGCTTGCTCAGCCTTTCTGCCTCAAGCCTTCCTTTCTTGCCTCCGGTCACAGAACTTGGCAACAGACTCATGGTGTCTGTCCCTCCTCTCCCCCGTTTCCTTTCACTAATCACTGAAACAACTCCATTCCACTTCCCCACTCCTAGATTCCACTAAAACTTTGTGTCAACCACATCCAATTATACAAAACAATGTTGACATGCAGATACATCCTACCCAAACAATTTAACATCTTGTTACAGAATATCATTTCTCTTCAGTTTTTATGCCATCTTGTAGACCAAGAGTCAATAACCAGTTTGTCTCTTTTTAAATCTAGTGATAATCCATCCACTCATTGTAGGTCCTCAGCTCAGAGTATATAGTTTGAATAAATATACTTACAAACTGGTCTAGTTCCCATTTTACCACCCTAATGTACAAAAAATACTGGATAGAAGCTATTATTGTTAATTACAGTTTGTTTTGCTGTTTTAAATATTATGCCTTTTATCATTTCTTGGCACTGGGAAAGATCAGCCTGAATAATGTTGAATATTATAGGTTATAGTGGGCATCCTTATCTTATTCTTGCTAGGAAGTGAAAAATTATCATCATCTAAATAAAGAAGTCATTATCGTGCTCCCTTCTATAATATAACTTTGAAACTTGAATAATTGTAACAATTGTTGAATACTAATAGATATAGGGTGGTAAATTATATTTAATCTACTTCTCCTTGTATACCTTATTGGAGGTTAACAATGGACTATTCCAAATTTAACAAGGTGCTAAAACTGTTTACAGGTTTATTTTAAGTGTGATAAAAGTCTGAAAATAAATAACTCATACTTATAGCTAGCAATCTGATAAATGTATTGCTCTCCATTCTGACTTAAAAATTCAAAAAAGAAAGAAAAAAATACCAGAACAAATTTTCATTCATCTTGCAAAATAGAAGTTTCTATCTTGTGGGATAGTTTATTGGGAATTCAGGGGATTGCACCTTCTGTTAGTTCCATGCAGATCCAGTGGGTTGACCAGCCTGGTACACACTGAGAGAAGTAGGAGACCCAATACTAAACAACTCTCTTTTTTTTTTTCAAAGCAAGAAAATTCATGTTTGGGTATTATGCACAACATATGATATATAGATAGAGTTGTAGGTGTACATGTAGATGTAGGTATAGGTATAATTATAGATATATACACATATGTTATATAAAAGTGTGCATAATCAGTAGTATACAGAACAACTAATAACTTTTTGATTATTTAAGCTGTGATACAGGAGAACTTGTGACTTGGATGTTATGACCTGCTACTT